TACCTATCCACCAGCATGTAAGGTTGTCATTCTGGGGCTCTGGCCCTTACTTTAATAAAATTATATTATGATTCCTGTATTTTCCTGTATCTTTTTCAAAAAGCACCGGCCACACTACGAACTTACAATGTTTAGGCTTTCAAAGCGTAATATATATATATATATATATATTATTAGAGCATATAATATTAGAGCATTTATCGTAATACTTTTAATAATCTAAAAAGAAATTTTTAAAAAAAATATGAACGAGAAACAACAAATTAAAATGTTAGAATCGATAATCAATTAAATATAACAGTTTCTTTTACTTTATTTCTATTGATATACTAAAATTTTATATGAAAAAATATCAAGTCCTATTTTTTAATATCATAAATACATTACTTTATACAAAAATTTTGAATAGTGCAGAATAATTTTATAAATGAAGTACGTATTGTGTTAAACAATACACATTATTTTTTGGCCATCAAATATAAAATAATTTAATTTACTGAAGAACAATATGTTTTAGAATACAGCAAAATTAATTTCAAAAAACTTCCTATTATGACTTTTATATTATTCATAAAATTTTATGAAGATATTTAATCATTTAAATACTTTTAGGAACAAAATATATTATTAGAAATGGGATGGAAAAATTATTGAATAAAAACAAGTACTGTAAGAATACACTTCACAATAATAAACAATAAAATAGCTTCTTAATAATACTTAATTATATTTTTGCTCAACAGCGAATAAATATCGCAATAGCTATGTCTGTTAATTAAAATATATTCACTGAATAAGTATTTATAGTCTATCAAAATTACTAATAATATTTGGAGGCATGTGAAACACATGGAATGAAAATATACTAATGAATTAATGTAATAAGAACTTCTGCGTCTGTATACAATTGCAGAATGAAACAGTACTTAAGCAACTCCTGCTAATATATTTTTCTAAAAACCTAGAAAACTAAATAATTGCATGGTCTAAAAGTTCTTTCGTATCATTGTGATTTCTAACACATTTTTTTAGAAGTCCTATTAAACTTATAAGTTAGCTATAAAGGAAACATATAGGAATTCTGAAAATGCATATTTTGTTGAGGATTCCAATTAATGTTTTTCATTTTAATTCTTCAATAAAAGTATAATTGTTTTTGTGTGGATTGATGTAGTTTTTTCTGATAATTGTTTTTAATTATCTTTCATAGTCCAACATTACTTACTATTTCTAAATACTTAAAAATAACGACTTGATAAAGAGATATTGAAAACAAAAAAGAGTCTTTCTAGGTTTTCTTATTAATTAGAAGTGTGAAATTTATAACAGAAAAAGTCTGGAATATATCTGGACAAAAAGCAACGAACTAGAAGAAATATCAGGATATCCGCTACCCTTTTAAGAAATTTCCTGTTAGAAAATTACAGTTGCATGCAAGTGCCTGTTTTTTAATTAAAGCTAATAACTCAAAACTGATTAAAAAGGTTAAATAATTACTTTTATGAATAGGCGAATTTATCGAGAATAATATTAGGTAGTAGAGTTTGAGTGTCTGTTTATCTGTGTCTTATAATTACAGAGCAGTTAGTTCCCGAGTTCTGAAATAAAAATAGCAGGTGCAGGGAGCGATTTTAACCCCTAATTCTAAAATTTTTAATAGTTCATTCAGAAGGAGTGTATGAAAATTCAATTTTTCTCACAAGTTTAGCATTTAACATTCCTCTGAATTAAACATCAAACGATTGCGTTTTTTTAAATTATTTTTAAAGATAACGTTAGAAATAGTTACTAGCTTACAGCTCTTTTTAATGAAAAACAGAGAGTTTCTTGCATTTTTTTATTTTTTTTTATAATAATTTCCTAATTTTCTTGTACGTCAGGTTACTTCAGACAAAATCAACTTGGATGGCAAGTGAAAACAACCTTTCCGAATTAGTATTTTGAAAGCAATATAAAAATTTTAAATGTTTTTAACTTTTTCATGTCGACATATGTCTTTTGATATCGTGCATAATACCATGGTCTTAATTAATGCCACTTTATTGATTTATCTTTTTTACCATGCTTGAGAAACTGGTGTACCTCCAATAAATAAAAAAATCCCAAACTAATTATTTGTGATCGGTTGTTGCGGGCCACAATTAATTTAGGAATTTAATTACGTTTTTAATTATTTTCATCATCGTTTGCTTTATTATTCACTTTTATTATTATTTATTTTCTTTTTATTTATTTTCATTATTATTATACATTTACTTTATTATTATTTATTTATTTTGCTTGATTACAGATTTGATAACTCTTTTTAAAAAAAAATAGTTTTACGTCACCAAGGGTTTGCATTCCCAGTTCTCTGAAGCTATTTTGATCTTTAAAAAATAGCGTATTCCTTTAATTTCTCATCTTTGCACAGTGACTCAATTTTCTCAGCGTTCTCATAACTTACTGTTCAATATTTCCGTTTCAGATTAAAACTTATATAATGGGATTACTGTTTCTTCCGTCTGGAAGTCCCCCGAAGATGTATTTTTCCGCAAATTTGAAATGTTAAGGTATGTAGATCTTGTGCAGCAGACCATTCACCTGTCACCAATAAGTCACGTTCTTTTCGAGTCTTGGACAGTGACATAAGAAGGTGTTCTTCGGGAAGAACAAAAACTTCCAGCATAAAATTTATTCAAGCGTGAATTTTCTTGCTTCAGGTGAAAAACTTACCTGCCTCAAATAATTTCTTCGCCTAATACCGGAAATCTTTTTAATCTAGAAAAAAAAGATGTTTTTTCCAAAAACTTTCATATACTTAGTTTATACATTTTGGAGAATTTTACAAGATCGTGCTCAATCTTAAATGCATAGAATGTGAGTATCAAGTGAGACTGCAAGAAAACAATATTTTGCTACCTTCCAGTCAAACAGCAACTGCGGAGCACTGTAAGAAACTCTTAACTAAATGCTGCAAATTTTGTCTTCTCCTCGTATTCAAATAGCAACTGAGGAGTACTGTAAAAAACTCTCAACTAAATGCTGCAAATTTTGTCGTCTCCTCGTAGTCAAACAGCAACTGCGGAGCACTGTAAAAAACTCTCAACTAAATGCTGCAAATTTTGTCTTCTCCACGTAGTCAAATAGCAACTGAGGAGTACTGTAAAAAACTCTCAACTAAATTCTGTAAATTTTGTCTTCTCCACGTAGTCAAATAGCAACTGAGGAGTACTGCAAAAAACTCTCAACTAAATGCTGTAAATTTTGTCTTCTCCACGTAGTCAAATAGCAACTGAGTAGTACTGTAAGAAACTCTCAACTAAATGCTGTAAATTTCGTCTTCTCCACGTAGTCAAATAGCAACTGAGGAGTACTGTAAAAAACTCTCAACTAAATGCTGTAAATTTCGTCTTCTCCTCGTAGTCAAACAGCAACTGCGGAGCACTGTTAAAAACTCTCAACTAAATGACGTAAATTTTGTCTTCTCCTCGTAGTCAAACAGCAACTGCGGAGTACTGTAAAAAACTCTCAACTAAATTATGTAAACTTTGTCTTCTCCTCGTAGTCAAACAGCAACTGAGGAGTACTGTAAGAAACTCTCTACTAAATGCTGTAAATTTTGTCTTCTCCACGTAGTCAAATAGCAACAGAGAAGTACTGTAAAAAACTCTCAACTAAATGCTGTAAATTTTGTATTCTCCACTTAGTCAAATAATGACAACGCAGAAATACAATGAAAACTAACTCAATGTTCTTTTACTAGCTTCTTCCACTTAGGAAAACAATAACTGTGGAGAACTACTATGAGAAACTCTCTCAACTGAGCTTTGCACAAGCTTCTTACACTTAGCCAAATAGTAACTGCGGAGAAGTACACTGCCAAGCAATAGAAAAATCAACTTGAGCGACGAAAAATTCACAGTTGAGATTTTTATGTATGATAAGCTACTTATTTTGCAAAAAAAAGTTTGAAAAATAAATTTTGTTTTGATCGGTTTTTGGAAATTCTATTTTAGCGCTCATTGCATTAACAATAAAAACAAAATAGTTGTCGTGAATCACATTATTTTTTCAATTGCTCGGCGCTACAGTAGAAACTCATTCAGCACTTTATTATTTTTTTTACAAACTTCTTAACTTACAAACCACGCTACACTGTAAAAAATCTCGGTTAATGTTTATCCAATACTTGGTGCAAAGTTTGCTAATTGCACCATAAATAGGATAAATCAAAAAATTTTTTATCTAGGTTGCACCATAAATTGGAATATATGATCAAGAAATGCGTTTATGGCGCAATCGATTGCGCCAAACTTTCGTACTCTGACAGGCACGTAACCGATGACTTATTTTGTAGTTGTTGACAAGATGGACGATTTTGTTGTTGAATCTTGATATCATCTCATGCAAGTTGTCTTTGAAATTGTCAATTTCTTTTGAAGGTAAGTAAACTTTTCTTAATTATTTGCATTAAATATAGTTCATTTCTTTCATATCAACTTTAAAAATTTTGTTGTCTGTTCTGAAAGTGTTAGCTTCAAATTTCTTCAAGGAAACTGTATTCGTTGTATGAATAATTAAATATTTTAAAATCTGTATTAGCTCTTTTTCAGTAAATAAGGAGATACAACGATTTTATGTGCACAGAAACATATACAGTTTATTTGGCTAAAGGCGCATTGCTTTCCGCCAAATTTACTGCTGGTGAAAATTTTCTAGGTTCGTGTTTTTATTTCATTTTATTTCATTCCACCGAACAAAAAAATTCGTATGTGCTTTCTGTTAGGATTAAAGCTTTTTATCAATATCTATGCTTTTGTTTTGATTTTCATGTTCTATTTTGCTCATTTTCGTTTGTAATGTCACATAATTACACGAATTTTGGTCTATATATTCTGAAGTGCTTCTGTTGTAAAATTTTCAATGCGAATTATTCACCTAAAATTAATACTAACCGTTGTCATGGAAACTAAATTTCTCTTTACGTTCGTTGAGCGCACGAGGTAGGAGAAAAACATAGTGGGTTATATCTTCACGGTTATATTGGCGTTAAAGAAAACAAAACAATATTTTTTTTTAATTCGCCAAGAATACCTTACTGAGAACAAGATTTGTTTTAGAACATTTAGAAATAAGCTGATTTCTAATTATAATTTTTTCTTAAAATATATTTTATTAATATTTTTTAACTGAGCGAAAATTTTTTTCAATGAAGCAAAGTATTGCATTTAAAAAGATAATAAATATATTTTTTTTATTAAATACAAATAAACAAATACTTTGATACTCATAGATACTCTGCTTTAGATACTTATTTTTCTATGTTTTTTTTATTTTTACTTACTTATTTTATTTTGTTGTAGCTTTATGCATATTAATTTAGCCCACATTTGTGTTTTGTGGGTGAGGGTAAGGATAATATAACCATGAAATTGAACGTTTTCATTGATCCTCAAAAATGTCATATGTATTCTTTATAATATTTACAGTTGTTTTTGTTTTTTTAAATATTTTTTTTTTCAAAAGTTTCATTTTAATTATAAAAGTGAAATTTTTTTGTTCTGAAATATATGTGCTTCTATGAAACAAAAGACCTTTAGTTAAAAAGGCAATCCTCACAAACAGTATATATGTGGAGTTTTAATACTATGCACATGAATACTGCTTGTGTGTTAATCAGCAGCCAGATTCCACCCTCTTAGACTCAACACGAACTCTTTTATCTATACAAGTGATGATCAATTTGTTAATTTATTATTTTAACTGTTAACAGTTCCTTCAGCAAGTTTTTTACTGTACCACTCTGCATAAAATTCTATTCACAATTTCTCAAGTGGAGAAATTCTATTTTGGTGCTTTAACGCATTTTAACAAAAATAATAATAATATTTTAAAATATCAATATCTTTCTTTCCTTTCCGGGAACTTTGTGGATGAAAGGAGGCTTAAGATAAAAATCTCCCCCCCCCCAATATGAATAGTTGGTCTCGAAATTTTTCTTTTTTTTAAGGTAGTGAAATGTTTTAACATTTTTTTACCTGAGAACTACAATTTCTCAATGTTCTTTATATTGTATATTAAAAATAGTAATTAAAATATGACTTGCTTTGAATTATCTTTCTATGTTTTAAAAAAGTAAGGATTCAAATTTTGTTTCTTCTGTACATTTTATTAGCATAAATTACATTATTTTTAATCTTCTTTCATTAGCACAAAGATACCAACAACTTCGATGATTTTAATTGAGAAAGAGACACAGGAAAAAATATTGTTATACCCAGTGCCGAACCTATTGATAAAAATATTTATTCTGCCAAAATCACCAGAATTCCAGAAGGTTATAAACAGTTTTTTCACACTTGAAAAGTGCTAGTTTCAAGAACAGCTTACAAACAAGGAATGTGTATAGTTTCAAATTTTGAGAATGAAGAACCTGTGTTTGCAAAAACAATTATTCTTTTGTAAATAGACTCCAAAATTTTATTTGTGTGTAATCTTTTTAAATCTTGTTGTGTTTTTTACAATCAACTAAAAAAGGTGATATAGTTAAAGTAATAGCACCAGAAAATCTATAATAATGAATATGTAATAAAAATATTGTTTTTCTCAAATACTCACCATCATGTACTAATTTATAAAAAAATTACAGTATTTTTTTCCAAACTGTGTGAAATTTTACTCTTTTTATCAAGTAGTAAATTATACTTGTAAAAAAGTAATTTAGCTATATTGTAGATTTTAATTCAGATGAGGCAGAATATATCAAGAAATTTAGTATCGTATTAAAATATGGAAAATTATTTTCAGATGATCCCAAATTTTAAAACTCTAAACATTGAGGCATAACATAATTTTTATTTTAAATTACTGTAAATTTAAAATAAGTTTGAATTGAATGCACTCTCTTAGTAACAAAAACATGCTATCTATCATATTTTTGAGTGAATATTTTGTATTTTTTTTTAATGAATGCTGTGATATGTATAAAAAGTATAACATGCTTAAATTTTGAGATTTTGCTTAAAAATTATTACATTCTGTCTATGTATACAAATATCAAAGTGACTGCAAATGAATAAATTATGTTTAAATATTGATCTGTATATTTTTTGTTAATATTTCCAAGTTATTTCATTATTTTTACATTTCTTAATTTACTTCAAATTTAATATTTCCATACACCAATGTAATTAATATTGGAATGTTTCCTTAATTAGAGATTGGGGGTTGACCAATACAATATTCGTCTACTTTTTTATATAAATTTTTACTTGTGAAAGTAATATTTTCATTTTTAAATAATAAAATAATTTAAAAATACACAGTAATAAGAATTTGATTCAGCCTAAAATTAAAATTCTTTTTATTTTCTCTTTAAAACATTAGCGGTATTAACTCTATAGCATCTGTTCGTGCATTAAATGAAATGTAAAAAATTATTCAAATTTTACATATATCAATTTGAAGAAAGAAGAAGTTTTTATATGAATGAAAAAATTTTTAAAGCGCCAAAAAGCAGATAAAGTAAGCATCATTAATAAATATTTATTAAAAAAAGAGAAGATAATTTAAATCAAATTATAATTTAATTATTTAAATATATAAAAATTAAAAAAGCTATTTTTATTTTAGATGTATTATTTAATATATATTTATATATATATATATATATTACATAACACATCTAAAATAAAAATATTTTTATTAATTTTTATAGATTTAAATAATTTAATTATAATTTGATTTAAATTATCTTCTCTTTTTTTAATAAATATTTATTAATGATGCTAACTTTATCTACTTTTTAACACTTTAAAAATACCTAATAATGGTGCAACCTTCCTCGCTTTTAGTTCCCTTCAAAAATACCAAATCATGGTGCAACCTTCCTCCATTTTTAGTTCCCTTCAAAACACTTATTTTTCGTGCAACCATTCGCCGCTTTTAGGCTGTTTCAAAATTCCGATTTTCGGTGCAACCTTCTCTCGTTGTTTGGAACTAGTGAAAGCACCAACATATAGTAAAACTGAGCACAACTTTATGTAGCCAGCAAATGAATACCAATGTTTGGTGCAGCATAGCTCGAAATTTTTTACAGTGTAACTTCAAACTTACAAATCACGTTTAAACAAAGACAGTGAAGTACTGTAAGAAAGTCATTAAATAAATATTTCTAAAACTTTTTCGATATGCTCTAATAACAGATTAGAAATACTGTAAAAAACCATTAGCGAAATTTTTAAAAATATATTTCACGTATCCAAACTATAACTAGGATAAAACACAGTGAAAAACTCTTTTCATTTTGAAAAAGAAAAAAAAGAAAGAAAAACTTCTGCAATTTAATCAAACAGTAATTGTTATGAAAAACTAAACTAAATGTTGATATCTAAGCAAAACATCTTACCTTAGTTAAACGAAAAAAAATCGTTGACAATAGCAGAAGTCGCTCAACACACAGTAGAATCTTAGAAAATAAAAACGAGAAATTATCCTTCAACCACTGTATTATCATAATCTTGCCTCAGCAGATCATCTGCTCCCTTTTGACAAAAATAATTTAATTATAAAAAATACTTGATACTAAGGAACAAGTTAAAAATTTCTTTGTGCTTTTCATTGAAAACAAACTACGCAAATTTTATTTAAGAGAAAATTTTAAGGAAATTTGAAGACGGGCGTATAAAATTATGGGGTTCTGGTGCATTATTTATTAATGAATATTATTTTTAAGAACATGTATTTATTTTGATTGCAAATCAGTCACAACATTTTTGAACTGCTCAACACACTTCAAATATAAAAATAAGAATCATTCAACTAATGCCGAATTTTCATGACAACTTTTTAATCAGCCAAGTTATAATATTAGTAAATAAGCCATCATACTCCCTGTTAATGATTTATTTTTTTAGAAAATTATTTTGAACTGTCCAAGTTATATAGAAAAAGATAATTGACCATTTTTCAAAACGCAGTTTTTCATGCTAGCAGATTTGATAACTTCCTACATTTTTATTCATTTTATTTAAATTTTAACAGAACGCAAATTTCATTGCACGTAAACTTATTTTTTAAGACGCTTTTAGTTTTTTTTTTAAATAAATGTCCAAATAACTACGATGTTATATGATAATACGTCAAATAAACTCAAACTTTCAAGTCTACGTTTGTCATTTATTATTCAAAGATAGTAAACGTAATGAAAAAAAAACTATGTGCAGTGGAAACATTATTTATAAACATCCTGTTAAATATTTAGTAAAATCCGCTAAAAATTGAAAACGTTATTTTGCCTTTCGAGTGTAAAAAAAATGCCCATTTTAGAAAGCGCTTTTTAAAGGTTTGCTAGCTTATTTCATTGAAATGATCGTTGTTCGTCAATAACAGCTCATAAAGTGATGCATCTTGCAGAGTTATTAGAGTTATAGGATGCATGCTTTCTTTTAGGTTAGCGTAGTTTAATGCTCATACTGTCAAAATACAAAAAAAAATGCTTTTGTTTTTGAAAATTTTCACAATGTTTCTTATGTTATGTAATGTTTTCCCATCAAAGTCGTCCTCAAGTAAATGCATCTGTATAAAAAAGAATGGTTGTTTGTTGAACAAGTAAGTGGTTTCATGCCATTCATCCTATTGAAATGTAATTTGGCACGCTATAAGTAATGAAGCAAGGGGAAAGTAGCCACTGAGATAAAAAAAAATTCTACTAGCATATTCGAAACCATTTGAGGAGGGTATGGGAAAAAAACAACTTTTCTCATATGATTAGCTTTAATCATTGCTGGATGCAAATTGCAGAAAAATTTCTTCATGACTAAGCCTAGCTTGCAGCTCACTAGTTAGCATAGATGTCTAGGACTTGTTATAACTGAGGAAAATTTTGACTGTTATGTACTGTGAAAGTTATATGAAATCACTTTTATTAATGATAACTGCCTTTCTAAAACGTATTTTGATAAATTTACTTATGTAAAGTTACCAGAAAAAACAACAGTTAATGAAATAAAGAGAAATTGAGGACTAAGTACTAATTTACCTGGTTGATTTGGTGCAGGTTAATAAAAATTAATTCTTTTGTGATAATTGCCTTTCACGTTTTTATCACGTTCTTATAAATTAATAACATAAAGGCAACGGGGGAAAAAACTATAAGCTAAAAATATGGAATTACGAACAAGTATCTACAATTTCTTCGTACTTAAAATAGAAGTAGTGGCAGTTCAGTGCGAAAATATGTCGCGGAATATAGAGAGATTTATAATTTTAAGCTTAATTTGATCCCAGTTAAGCAGGATAATTAGTAACGTGTCCAGCAAGAGGTACTTGTGATACCTTATCGCTTTGTTCGTCAAAAATGATTAGAAAGCAGTAATACCTCTCACACAAATTTTCAAAAATTACACATTGTTACACTTAATAAAAATTAACATTTTATAACCGAAAAATGCCGATTTCAACAGTTAATTTCTATATAGAACTCTGAAATCCTTTTAAATAATCAAACTAAAATTCATGTAATATTTCCTTTAATATTTCCTGCTCCTCTAATGACACTAATGAACTAATAGCCCTACTAGCGCAATACATTATCGATCGAAGGTAGTAAAGTTTTTTTTTCTCACGCCTACAAGTATCTATGATATTCGAAGTCTAGGAATCAATCTCTTCCCTGATGACCCGATTTTTTCGCATCTACGATTCTTAGCAATTACCCGGATGCTCACATTCACAAAGTTTGTATCATTCTGGGTCATAGCGAAACCACTTAAAAGTGCTATAAATATTTTCCTTTCATAATATTTGTATTGTATACCATGTATATTGAAGTGAAACATTTTACCTAAAGTGAATATACTTTTTCAAGCATAGAAAAACCTTGGCACTTCAGAAACTCACTAATGCAATGCACATTAAAACTTTCCATAATAATGTTATCATAATAATGTGTTAAAAAAATAAAACTAAGCTACTTTTCTCAGCATGCTTGAAACACAAAGAGAAATACAAAACTTCAATCCATTTAAGAACATTTTTTATTTATTATTTAAAAAAAATTCAAGGATTTCGTTTCTTTTTTTTTCTTTCGTTAGTCTATGGCAATAGTAATCAACCTGATCCAAAACGCCCCTGGAGACAACTTACATGGTGAGAGATAGGGAATACCGACCGATACTGAAGCATTCCCTTTTTCTGATTTTTAATTGATTCATTAAACTATTGAAATCGAAACTTTTAACGTGTTGCTTAGAAATTTCCATAGCAATTTTTTAACATTTCAATTTGGGTTTAATAA